GAAAAATCTCTCTCAAAAAAAAAAAAGAGGCAGTGAGGCCAGAGCAAAATTATGAGAGGGTCAGTGGATGACACACAAGGTGGGGTTAGTGACCTTTCTACTCTGATGACATGAGATTTGCAACTGGGGGTTGGAAAGGGCAGAGGGAGAATGGTCTGGAAAGGGCCATAGAAGGAGAGGTGGGCTCCGCTTAGATAAGGCGGCAACAGGAATGTTCAGGGAAACTGAGGAAGAGACTTCGCTGAAGATGGGTCCTGAATTCCAAAGGCCAAAGAGCTGGACCGGGTTGGGGGATGGGATGTCTTCTTCCTCCGTGACGTTTTCCTGAGTTTTCAGGATGCTTGTGGTCATGTATGTGGCATTCTTGGCCTGCCACAAGTGCCCACCAGATGAAAGCTGTAGTTAGCAGCCCTGGTGGGGTCACAGTCAGACCAGGGGTCTTTTGCCAGAGGAGTAAGGGTGGGGAGTAGACCCAGGATCCCTTTCCCGATCATCACCCACAGTCAGAAGGTGAGAACTGGGTCTCTGGCCTTTTCATCCACGGATCTGATGGGGTCACAGTCAAGTCCCAGGGGCCTTGTGCCCTGGAAAGGGACATGGGGTGGCCTGGCTGCACTGACCCACCAACCCCTCTCGACCCGCAGGACGCCAGGGCCGGAGATGGGCGCCCGGCCCTCGCGGCGGCGGTTGCCCGCGGACCCTCCACTGGCACTGGACGCGCTGCCCCCCGAGCTCCTCGTGCAGGTGCTGAGCCACGTGCCGCCGCGCGCGTTGGTGACGAGCTGCCGCCTGGTGTGCCGTGCCTGGCGCGACGTGGTGGACGGCCCCACCCTGCAGCTGGCCCGCGACCGCAGCGCCGAGGGCCGCGCACTCTACGCGGTGGCTCAGCGCTGCCTGCCCAGCGGCGAGGACGTGGAGGAGTTCCCGCTCTGCGCCCTGGCGCGCTACTGTCTGCGTGCACCCCTCGGCCGGAACCTCATCTTCAACTCCTGCGGAGAGCGTGAGTACCTGGGCAGGGCGGGAGAAGGGGAGGGCCGAGTGGGACCCAGGGGACCGCTGATGTGCTGGATGCTGCCCCCGCGTGGGCGAGTCGGGAATGATCCGGCCGAGAAAGAAAGAGCCAATGGACGAGACAGCGGGACCCAGCCGGGCTGCGAGAGGACGGTCCGGGGAGGTGGGCGGGGCTGCGGAAGGCAGGGCCAGAGCCTGTGAAGCTGATTGGACGCCAGTGGAGGGGCGCTTCCAGAGGAGGCCGCTGGGGAGGCGGGGAAGGATTGGGGGAGCGGCGCCTGGCGCGTGGCGGGAGCCCCGGGGCGGGGCGGGAATAAGTCGCGTAGTTTGAGAGGCAGAGGGAAAGCCGAGCAGAGGGGCGGGGCCGAGGGGAAAGAGCCAGTGGGGGAGAGTGAGCGGTCTCGGGAACCGGGAACGGACCCTGGTGGGAGGCGGGGTCGTAGTGGAAGAATCCGGGGAGGGGGGGGACCGGCCTAGCTGTGCGCTCCGCAACTCTCCGCGCGCTGGCGAGCGAGTCCCTTACGTGCAACCTTGTATTTTCAGAGGGCTTCAGAGGCTGGGAGGTGGAACACGGTGGGAATGGCTGGGCGGTGGAAAAGAACCTAACCCTGGTGCCCGGAGCTCCTTCCCAGACCTGCTTCGTGACTTCTTTCGAGTGAGTGGGCACTGGCCCGGAGGAGGAGAGGGGCCCTACCCCAGAATCCTCAGCGTCACCTACCTTCACCCTCTCCTTCTGTCATTGATTCATTCAGTGAATAAATACTTACTGAGGGCTTAGAATTAGAGTTGGAGACATTAAACACAAACAGTAAAACAACCACGAAACCATTTTTTTCCCCCTTTTTTTGGAGAGGTTTTTGCTTATAGGGCACATGCGCTGGCCAGAAAGAGACAGAGAGACAGAAAGCAAGAAATCACTCCCCAGGGGGAATGGCCAGGCCACAGTCCCTTCTCCTCCATTCTCCTCTCGAGATCTTGGGCATGTACACACACGCGCCCAGTGTGAGTTTAAGCCACCAGGTCTGGGACTTGAACTGAGGTCGACTACATGGGAGTCCAGCAACATAGCTATATGCCATCTGCTGGTGCCATAATTATACAAGGCCCGCCCTCACACACCACCTCCAGGCTCCTCCCTGCCTCAGAACCTGACCCTGATCCTGACCTGGGGCCTAGTGCTTGGCCCTGACCTACATCCTGACCTGGGCCTCAAACTGCTTACGTCCTGGCTTCTGAGAGTGCCTGCCTATGCACTGCGCTAGATGGAAATCTGCAACCAATATTTTAGAGGGGTGACTATACTAGACACTTTACATAAACCTCGTAATCCTGGCAATGGCCCTGTGACATAGGTACTATTATTGTTCCCCTTTTATAGTAGAAAAGGGAGGCACAGAGATTGACAAATGTCTAGTTAATGATGAAGTCAGGATTTGAACCGGGGTAATCTGACTCCAGAGCTTCTGCTTGTGGTAAATGCTACAGAGACAGCAGAACAGTTCGGTTGTCTCTTACCCTCATGCCCTACACTCTCATTCCTTTCTCCCAAAGGCTACCCTTCCCTTTTTTTAGGCTTTTGCCATAGGGTACATGTGCTTGCCAGTGAAAGCCGGTGAGAGGAAAATGAGAACTCACCCTCCAGGGATTTGGGGCACCCACACACACGGCAGGCACAATTCTCAATCTCCCAGGCCAACTCAAACTGGGTCAGCCATGTGGGAGTCCAGTGCCTTTAACAGCACGCCGCCCGCTGGCCCTTAGTCTACCCTTCTAACAGGAGATTCTCCATTCTTGTACTTGCCAGTATGTTAGGGGTGAAGTGATACCTCGTTGCTATCTTTTTATTTATTTATTTATTTTTAATTTGCCAGAAGACACATGTGCTCGCAGGAGACAGAAAGAGGGAAAAACGAGAAAGCACCCCTCCATGGGGGATAGTCATGCCACAACCCCTCCTCCTCCATTTCTCCTTCCTCTCACAATTGTTTTTTAAGAATTATTTATTTAATTTTATTATTGTTGTTTTTAATTTATTACAGGCACATGTGCTTACCAGAGAAATAGAGGGGGAAAGTGAGAAAGCCAACTGCCAGGTCTAGGTCTTGAACCATGGTCAGCCATGTGGGAGTCCAGCGCCTTAACCACCACACCACCTGCTGGCTCCCTCTTCTCAGGATTTTGAGCATGTATGCACACACACCCAGCATGTTTCTTAAGCCACTAGATCTGCGATTCAAACTACACTGTCAGCCGTGTAGGATCCAGCCACCTTAACTACCTCACCACTGACTGGCCCTCACCTTGCATTTAACTTGCATTTTTCTATTTATGATTTATTAAGCATTTCTTCGTGTTTGTTAGCTTTTCGAATTCTCTCTTTCGTAAACTGTTTAACATTAGGATGGATGTCTTTTTCTTGTTGACATGTGTTCTACAAGTTCCTTATCCAATCTGGAAATTAGAGACGTTTTTTCCATTCTGCCATCTGAATTAACTCTGTCCATAGTATTCTCTTTGGGACAGTAGTCTCTTATTTTCATGTTACCATATTTTTATCTTTCTTTTCTTTTTGTATCTTTTTTAAAATCAGCGTGGCAGCCTTTCCCCTCTGTGTCTCTATCCCATCCGGATTTTTGGCAGGCATGCACGTAGGCCTGGTGTGTTTTTACACGCTATCAGGATTTTTTTCAAGAGATTTCTGCTATAGGATGTATGCACTCACCAGAGAGACAGAGAGACAGAAAGTGAAAAATCACTACCCCCCAGGAAGGATGGCCATGCCGCAATCCCTTTTCCATTGGTTTCTCAGGACTTTGAGCACACAGGTACACACACACCCAGTGTGAGTTTTAAGCCTCCATGTCCAGGACTCGAACTGCAGTTGACTACGTGGGAGTCCAGCAATGTGACCATCACGCCATCTACTGGTCTCTAGAGTCAGGATTTGAACCACGATTGGCTATATGGGATTTGCTTTCCCACTGGACAGCACTCAGCGCTTAACCACTGTACTACAGGGCCGTCTTCTTCCTTTTTCTTTCCTTTTCTCTTTAAAATTGATGTTCCTGGAGTTTTGTTTAAAAATATTTTGGGACCAACCAGGTGCATGGTGGTGAAGGTGGCTGGAGCCCACATTGCCTACTGTGCAGTTCAAGTCTAGACCTGGTGGCTTGAAAAACATGCCCGACACACACGCACGCATGCCCAGAATCCAGAGCGCACAGGGAAGTAGAAGGGAGGCAGCCTGCCCATCGCCCCAGGGTAGTTTCTCACTTTTTCTCTCTCTCTGGTGAGCTCACATGCTCTATAGCACATTAATACATATATTTTTAATTTACATATATATATGTATATCTTTCCCCACACACACACACCCCTAGAATCCAGCAGTATTCTCTTCTCTACTGGCTGCTAGCAAGTAGATTGTTTCCTCTCACATTTAGGTCTTTAATCTACCTCTGAATGTGGCGTTAGGTAAGGATCTACCCCCCAACCTCCCAATGCATTGAGCCAGTTTTTCCAGCAGTCTTGTAAAGAGTCACCCATTGCCTGTGGAAGGTGGTGCCACCCCTCTTTCCTATGAACTGCCCACACGTTCCTAGTACTGTCCCCTCCCCCCTGGCCGAGTTCTCCGTCCTTTCACCAGGACTACAGAAGTTCCGTCATTATGGCACATTCCCTTTAGGGGAGAGGGATTGTTGACGAAGGTGTTGGCAGACCACATGTCCCCTGCAGGACTCCAGGCTAGGAGCCGAGGGCCAGGGCATCACCACTACTGCCCCGGGTCTACCAGGGGGAGAAGGGGAAACGGTTACCAAAGCATGAGGACAGAGAAAGCTGGGAGGAGGGGGGCTGTGGAGCTGAGCTCTTTCTTCTAGGGTCCCAGCAGTCCTTGGGAGGGGCTCAGAAAGAAAATACCCTGATTTTCCTCTCTCCCTTCACTGCCATCTCCCGCAAGAGTTTCCCAACTGGGAGCAGAGTGAGAGAGACTAGTCCACGCAGGCCTCAGACCTTGGGTCCCCACTCTTTAGAAGGCCCTGGGGCGGGACCAGCAGTTGGCATAATGGCTATGTCGCTGGACTCCCATGTAGTTGACCACGGTTCAGGTCCCAGACCCAGTGGCTTAAACTCATGCCGGGTGCGTGTGCGTGTGTGCTCAAGATCCCAAGAGGAGAACGGAGGAGAAGGGATTGCAGTGTGGCCATCCCCTCTCGGGGGTGATTTCTCACTTTCTGTCTCTCTCTCTCTGTCTTTCTGGAGAGCATACGCACCCTATAGCAAAACCCTCTCCCCCGCCCCCCCACAAAAGGCAGCCCTGGAACTCTCTGTTGGGATGTCTAGTATGTGGCCTCCATTTGTACTCGTGTCCTGGTTCCCACAAATACAGGGGCAGGGGGAACCAGCAGTTAGCGTAATGGCTATGTCGCTGGATTCCCACGTAGTCAACCGCGGTTCGTGTCCCGGACCCGGTGGCTTAGAACTCACGCCGGGCATGTGTGCGTGCGTGCCCAGGATCCTGAGAGGAGAATGGAGGAGAAGGGATTGCGGCGTGACCATCCCCCCTGGGGGGTGATTTCTCGCTTTCTATCTCTATGTCTCTCTTTGTCTGTCTGGCGAGCGCATGTGCCCTGTAGCGAAAACCTCTCAAAAAAAAAAAAAAGATACAGGGGCAGGCACGCATGTGGGTCGGCCTCCCAGAGCCCAGAGCAGGGTGCAGAATGGCAGAGATGTACAGCCCGTCACACACCTTCATGGCTAATAGTGCAAACCCCGAGGGCTCCTTTAGCCAGGCCTACCAAGGGAGGCATGTCGGAGGTGACTTCTGGCTGTGACTTGAATGCCAAGACTGCCTGCTCCACCCGACTCTCACCCCCTCCCGTCCCTGTCCCTTGGCCTCTCTTCGTCCCAGGTGGTGCTTTAAGAGGCAGCTGGTGGACCTGGTGATGGAGGGGATGTGGCAGGAGCTACTGGACAGTGCCCAAATTGAGATCTGCGTGGCCGATTGGTGAGTGACAGTGGCAGCCTGACCCCGGGGGCCCCAGCAGCGCTGGCAGTGGCTCAGACAGTGCTCTGCGGCAGGAGCTCCTCGCCAGCGCCCATCAGCTGCAGGGGCCGCTGCTGTTTCTCTGCATCCTTGCAGTGAAGCTGATGGGAACGGGGTGCCCTCCTCATGGCACAGCTGGGATGGGAGGCCTCCTGGCGAATCCCTAGCCCCCACTGTACACTCCTCCCCGCCCTCTTCCCAGCAGGCCCCTGATTGTCCACATGGCCTGGTCCCCTCTAGAACAAGACACCCCCATCACATCCAACTCAGCACAGATCCTCAGGGCATGTGGATGCCCACGGCCTCTGAAAAGTTAGGGGCATTATGCCCTGAGGACTGGGGCTCAGAGGGGGCAGAGTTGGGACCAGATTGCTGAGTGGCTTCGGAGCCTGCAGAATTACAATTCTCCTTCCCAGAGCATCTGTGTTCTTCCCCAAAGCATTTGAGCTCTTCCTTCAAACTCTAGCACATCCACAGAAAACCTAGTCTCTTTCCTGGGGCTCTGGCTCCTCCCAGAGACCACCAGGCTCCTCCCCTGGGGTTATGGCTCCTCCTCCCCGGAGTACCGTATACCCCTACCCTCAGGGCCACCCAGAGGTTCCCAGGCCAGGACCTCTCCGAATGTGCAGGTGTGTAGGACCCTCAGAGAGATGCAGGGAGGCTCCACCCTCAGCCCCCCTCTCCCCCAACCCAGAGAGCTGGCTGGGTGCCAGGGGTATCTGAGGCTCACTGCCCCCCTGCCAGGTGGGGCGCCCGAGAAAACTGCGGCTGCATCTACCGGCTCCGAGTCCGCCTCCTGGACGTGTATGAAAACGAAGTGATCAAGTTCTCGGCGTCCCCCAACCCGGTCCTTCAGTGGACGGAGAGGGGCTGCCGACAGGTCCGACAGGTGGGTCCAGACCTGCTTCCACTCACCCGACCCGCTCTTACCCTGCTTGTTTTCCGCTCGCCGCCCTCAGTAACAGCTGCTAACCATGACTGAGCCCTCCTACCTCCCAGGCCCTGTTCCAAGAGGTTTACCTGGCTCGTTTCATTAGTGCCGAAGCCTAGTAGTTCAACATTTGTTGAGTTTCTTCTGTGTGCTGGGCACTGCTCTGGGTGCTAGGAATGCAGCGGTGACCCAAAACCCTTGCCGGGTTTCTGTTCTAGAGTTGAGGAAACGGAGGCACTGGGAGTTGAAGTGGCTGGTCCAAAGCCACAGTAAAGCGTGCAGGGCCTGATCCACCCAGGCTGGCTCCCGAGGAGGCTTTGCTGTTGTAATCATCGTATCTCTGATCAAAGTATACTGGGTGCAGTGGTGTGGGCCTGCAATCCCAACTACTCATGAGACGGAGGCAAGAGGGTTGCGAGTTCAAGGCCTGATGGAGCATCATAGCAATAAGACCCTGTCTCTCTTTTTTTTTTAATTTTTGCTATAGGGTGTGTGTACTTGTGTTGAGGAGGAGAGATAGAAATCACCCTCCACTCCCTGAGAGGATGACCATGTCACAATCCCTGCTCTTCCATCCTTCTCAGGATTTGGAGCATGCATGTACACTCAGCATGTTTTTTGGGCCGCCAGGTCTGGGACTCAAGCCACACAGTCAGTCATGTGGGAGCCAGCTGCCTCGACTGCCATGCCCCCAGGGGCCTGACCCTGATTCTTAAAAGAAAACCCTACATACAACTTTATTATAGTAACCTTTTAGGTTCTTGCTTTCAGTCTTGCCTTTCTCTCTGACAACCCCCAGACATAGCATACAGAGAGATCCTATTAAAAAGTGTCACCCTGAAGCCAGTAGGTGGTGTGGTGGTTAAAGCGTTGGACTCCCACATGGCTGACTGTGGTTCGAGTCCCAGACCCAGCAGCTTGAAAATCATGCTGCGTTCATGTGCCTATGTGCCCAAAATCCCAGGAGGAGAGTGAAGACGGGCTTGTGGTGTGGCCATCCCTCCTGGGGGGGGTGATCTCTCATTTTCCCTCTCGTTGAATATCTGTTTATTTCCAGTGAGTGCATGTGCCCTATAGCCAAAAGGAAAAAAATAAAAATAAAAAGCCTAAACAAAAAATGTGTCACACATAATTCTCCCTGCTTGTAACCAACCCTCCTTTGGCTAACAGAGGAGAAGCCTGTGATTCAGCCATACAGAGGAGGCGGATGTTGAAAACATGCTAAGAAGGCCCTGCGCAAAAAGCCCTGTATGAGTCCACTGACATGAAATACCAAAAACAGGCAAAGCCAGAGACACACAAAGCAGCTTAGTGGTTGCCCAGGACTGGGGGCGGGAGGAATTGGGAGTGATGGCCAATGGGACACAAGGGTTTTTTTCTGGGGTGATGGACATGAATGTTCCAGAACTAGGTAGTGGTGATGGTTGTAGAACACTGTGGATCTACCAAAACCCACTGAGCTGCACACTTCAGAATGGAGTTATGTGTTACGTGAACTTTATCTCAATAAAAATATTGTGGGACCAGCAGATGGCATAGCAGTTACGTTGCTGGACTTCCACATGGCCAACTGCGGTTTGAGTCCTGGGCCCGGTGGCTTGAAAGTCATCCTGGGTACGTGTGCATTTGTGCCCAAAATCCTGGGAGGAGAATGGAGGAGGAGGGGTTGTGTTATGGCCATCCCCCCTAGGGGGTGATTTCACACTTTCCCTCTCACTGTCTCTGTCTCTCTCTCTCTGGCCAGCTCACACACCCTAAGGCAAAAACCTATCAATAAAATTTAAAATTGGGGGCAAGCAGGTGGTTTAGTGGTTAAAGGCACTGAACTCCCACATGGCCGACTATGGTTTGAGTCCCAGCCCTGGCGGCTTGCTTTCTCAACCCCCATCTCTCTCTCTATCTCTCTCTCTCGTTAATTTATAAAAACAGATAATAATGATGATCAAAAATGAAATTAAATAAACTCATTCAAAAAAATTTTAAATACAAATTTAAAAATAAATTGCAGAAAACAAGCCAAAGTCTGGCTATGGCCCTCAGGGCCCCACATAATCTCATCACCTCCCTGATACAGCTCCTCCTTCTCCCCTAACTCAGCTCCACGAGGCACACCCCTCCCCATAGCCTTTGCACTGGCTACTCCCACTACGTCCCACACTCTTCCAGAGCCCCGCGTGGCTCCCTGCCTCCTCCAGGTCTCTGGCTCACATCTCTACCCTGTGGGGCGTTGCTTACTCACTTGACTCACATGCCCCATCCCCGAGTGTCACTTCACCTGTGAAGGGCCTCGTGGCTGCCTTTGCTGCTGCATCCCCTAGAGCAGAGCCTGGCACCTGCTCGTCCTTGGGCGTCAGCTACGCATATGGGGGCGCAGGAGCCCACGGGCCTCACCTTCTTGCTCTCCTTTCCCCACAGGTCTCCCACGTCTTCACCAACTTTGGCAAGGGTATCCGCTACGTGTCCTTTGAGCAGTACGGGAGAGACACACGTTCCTGGGTGGGGCACTACGGCGCCCTGGTGACCCACTCCAGTGTGAGGGTCAGGATCCGTCTGTCGTAGTCAACGGGCCTGGCCTGGCCTGGCCTTCCAGACGCGCTGCCGTCTGTCAGCCAAGGGTGGCTTTGCAAGTAGGAGCCAGAGGACGTCCAGGGGTAGCGGGGTTCCAGGTACCACCCCCGTTGCTGCTGCTGCTTCAGCGTGGTGGCCCTCTTGCTGTGTGAGGAACCAGGGACCCAAGCAGGCTGTTTACAGCCGCCTCAGCTCCCCAGGTGGGGTGTGTCAAAAAAGAACCAAGGCGGTTTGTTCTTTGCCTGCAGATTTTCTCACTTGGTAAACGGAGTCAAGAAGCAAAGGTCAAAGCAGGATGTATGATGGGGAGAAAGCTGCCCAAAGTGGGAACGACGACTCTGAGCATGTTTGGGGGCAAGCCTGTCACTAGCTGGTCAGTTGGGGTGGTGGACCAACCAGGGTATCAAAGGAAACCTCTTGTTTTGGGGAGACACAAATTCAGCTGTGAGCCATGGAACTGGCCATCTTAGCCGTAGCCCGCCTGCCCTGCCCCTCGGCACCTCCCCTTTGGGCTAGGCTGGTACCGTTCCTCTCATCAGAATCCCTCAGAGGCCAGCCCCCCATCTCAGCCCCTCCCGCCTTGTTCTGGGGCAGCGCACTTGCTGGGTAATACTCTCCCGTCTTCACACGCCTGCCCTCTTGTTGTACAGACCCCCAGGGGCAGGGCGTCTTGAAGGAAGGCACTTCTGTTCTCCCAACTCCTCGTGGATCTCCTTCCACTTCCCCAGCTGGGCACAGCCAAGAAACCAGCTTGGTAAAAGTGCCGCTAGGCCATCACTGCAGGAAGAGGTCCCACAGAGCGGAGAAGCTGAGGCGTGTGACTTCTCCAAGGGCCAGATGGCAGAGTTCAAGGCGGCCTTCCAGCTGTGTGACTGGACAGGGGAGGGCAAGATCCCTGCCAGTGTGGGGACATGATGAGGGCCCTGAGCCAGAACCCCACCAACACGTTAGTGCTCGAGGCCCTGGAGAACCCCGAGAGTGATGAGATGAACGCGAAGGCGCAGGACTTTGAGCACTAGCTACGGTGCGCCAAGAACAAGGACCAGAGCACCTATGAGCATTTTGTTGAAGGCCTTCGGGTGTTAGACCAGGAACAGAACGGCACCGCCATGGGTGCCGAAATCCAGCATGTCCTTGTCACATGGGGGGAGATGACAGAGGAAGAAGTAGAGGTGCTGGTGGCAGGGCACGAGGACAGCACTGGTTGTATCAACTATGAAGAGTTCATCCGTGGGGTGCGAATGGCCGACAACATTCCCAGTACCCCAGAACCCCGTGCCTTTCCCTCTGAGGCTCTGTATTTAGTCCTGAAGCATCTCATGCTCTCTGGTCACAGCACTTTCCCATGCTGTGTCTCCTGGGTGACATCTGCCATCAGCAGTCACCAAATAAACTTGCTCTCTGCCCCCACCCCCCAAAAATGGTGCTAAACGTGAGGCAGTAGGTGGACTCCATCGCACAGCTGCTCAAGAGAAGCGGGATCCCACATGGCAACCAAGGCCCGAATCCCCTCTGCCAGTCAGCCTGAAACACTGGGCATGTGCACGGGAGCCCAAGGCCTGGCGGAGGACTGCAGGAAGGGGCTCGGCCTCGGTGCTCGCCTTCCTCCCGCTCTCACATGCACATGTACACTGTACTGTGAATAAAATGAATTGTTTTAAAGGACCAACGGGCACCTTTTGTCTGCAGTCAGTGTGCTTGTCTGCCTCCAGCTCTGACCTAAAAGCCTTTGTGGTCTCGGGTACACCTGAGACCCTCAGGAGGCTGTGTGCTGAGCACTGTGAGGAAACGGAGGTGTCCAAAACCCAGAGACAGCTGGGACACACGGAGCAGCTCCCAGGCTGACAGCTCTCAGTATAAATGACCTGCCCAGGTCAGCAGCCAATCAGCAGGGGAGGTGGGGCTAGGACCGGAGATGGGCTCTGGTCCCGATGAGCAGTTAGTTTCCACATCTTCCAATCTACAGTGGCCAAGCACTTGCTCATGCTCATGTGAGGTCAGTATACTATCCGTGGCATTTTCCAAGGCAGGAAACTGAGGCCCACAGGGAGAACCAACATAGCAGATCACAGAGCAATGACGTGCAGGAGGCAGGCAGTGGTGCCCCAGTAGCACCACTGGTCCCACAGGGGATGGGCCTCGATGAAGTCCTGAGACTCTGCTGAGAGAATCTCTCTCTCTCT